AGGACCAATAATTTCACTGAACCAGAAGAGGCAAAGTATCCATGGCTGGGCTTCCTCAAAATGAACTGCTTACCGTTATAATCTGAAACCTCAATTTGAAATGGACAGTAAACACAGCTGTCGATTTATCACAGCTTGGAACTCGTGCTCCCCTGAGTGGAAATTACCGGTCCTGTCACATGGGCAAGCGCATCAGGTTCCATACACCAGCTTGATCATTTCTGCAGCAGGGTTTTGGATCTACTCCTCACTAGCAACTGAACTAACATCAGAGCATGCGAGTCACTGGAAAAATCTGATTGGTTTACTGCAGGGTCGTGGAGGTAGAGGAGGCTATTCACAGAGCAGTAGGCACAGCTGCTCATTTGCCTAAGCACAAAGCAAGAACACAAGGTCTGTTACATTCCCAAGCAATCAAATAGCCCCATCCCTACAAAGTGAGCTGATGGGGATGCAGTATTTCAGCAGAACCCATCTGAAACAAACTACAGTGTTACTCGCTGCTTATAAAAGGCCCACCAGAGGAAGGTCCTGAACAGCCAGGGGTACAGTGTGCTTCTTGGGGTGCTCCTGGGGTTTGTTTGCTGAAATGGTGATATTTCCCACACCTGAGCTCAAAGGAAAGCACTGGAAGCCGCTGGGCTTCTGCAGGGAGATAGGTGGTTAGGAGCTGTGCAGTGATATGGCTGCCAAAAGTGCTGCTTTCCACAGCATCCTTTGCTCCCCCCAGGCTGCAGGAGTAGCCTTATATAAATCAGCGGGAATTTGGCAGTGCGATCTTACCTGGAGTCTAAATCCTTCCTTTCATCTCCTCCGCTGTGTGAATGCTCAGAATTTGACCTTGACAACCCGACTCCTGGGGTAGCAGTAATATTACACTCCGTCCAACACCCTCCCCCAGCGAGAGGGGGGAACTTCACAAATGGTGGCTGGCTCTCTTTCTTAACAGTGGGTTGTAAACAGTATTGCTCACAGATCCCATAAATCCACCTCTGGATCTCCTTCACTGTAGAGAATAACCCCTGGGTTGTCATGTAAGATGCTGCAGCTGAGGGGAGATCAACCAATATATAGCAGATGGCATACTTTCATGTGTTCATTAACCAAAGAGCTTGTTCTCAAAGGTACTGACCTCTGTTGTAACTCTGAAAATGCCTGTTAGCCAAACAGGGGTGTATATTACAGACATGTGATTTGTCAGTGTGGCACTGCATATTTGAAAGAAGGTCGCTTGCCAAGGTCAATACAGTGCAGAATGAAATGGGCATGTCCTACAGCTCAGCAGATTCCTAATTATCATTCAAAGGCCTGGGCTTGCATTAGACATAGAATGGTAGCAATGTCTCTGGTATAGCTTTTCATATTTGTTGCTCTGTAAGTCAAGAAGAATGATCTATACTGCAAATCATATACCTGAGTGGGTGGGTGGATTTTCACACATCCATGTGCAGAAGCCACTGGTAGATAAAAACACAGACTTTATTCTTTTCTTTTTTTCTGGAGGCGCTGAATGTGATAGCACCCAGAAAGTGCAAGAGAATTTACATTAAGACAAACTTGTAGCCTTTGGCATGCTTGCAGTGACATTCCCATGTAATAATGATTTGTAGTGCTGTAACTCCTTTCAAAGCACTTTAATGATTACTTAGGGCTTATTCATCAATGGAAACAATGTGAAAAGCTATTCCGAAAATACTCTTAAGTATGGACGTTCTTGTTTTGGAACCAGAGCCCACCTTAATCCTAATTAAATATCACAACTCCCTCCCAACTCCTCCTCCCCAAACACACATACCCTTTATCCTCAGTGGAGGATGCCCAAATTGAAACACAGAGGAGTGGTTTATCTCATGGTCAAGAGCCCAAGACTGCAAAATTTCACTTGTCTTCAGTGCACAGAGCACGTGTGGGATCATGCCCTAGCCCAGAGGTAGGCAAAATGTGGCCTGCGGGCTGGATGCGGCCTGCCAGGCCATTCTATCCCGCCCTCAGGGCCCCTAAAAAATTTAGAAATTGAATATTTATCTGCCCCTGGCTGCCAGTCATGTGGCCCTCAATGGCTTGCCAAAACTCTGTAGGTGGCCCTCCACCCGAAATAACTGCCTGGCCCTGCTCTAGCCAGTGGTGCAGCCATCTCCACAATTCCTATCAGCGTTGACCCTGAGAACTTACCTCCTGGTCATCAGTGGTTTTAGATTGTGTCCCTTGTATGCCTGGGGCTTCACAAATTGCAACTTGACTTGTTTTAATGGGAACCAGACTCTGTGCACATATACTCCTCATCCTCTGCTCTGCAACAGCCAATTGTTGTTTGTAGGAAGACCATGTCTCAGGAAGGAAATAGAGTGAGCACATCAGCTCATTCTAGAGAGGCCGCCAAAGTTTGGTGTCATTCACTACAAGCCCAAAGGCTTAGCGGTGAAACGCTCTCAATCCCAGTCCTCCAGGCCACCCATGGTTGACAAGGACATGAGTGCAACAAATGCAGCCTTCATCCCATCCTAGGGAAGCTTGCTCACCTCCCCACCAGGAGGTCTGTTACACCCTCTGTCCTCTTGGGTAGTTCCAGAGATCTAGTGAAGGCACCCCTCTCTCCTTTCTGAATTGGATAATAGCTCTTGGGTTATTCCTTGTGCCTGGCCACATTTCATGGTGGGGAATGATGGATAAAGTGACATAGAGAATGAAAGGTATTTGTTAAAAACAAATTATTTTTCAATCATTGACTTGTTGAAATGCACTACTAATATGGTAGTAATAATAATAATCAATAGACATTACTAATGGCATGAGTATTGCTAAATGTACTCTGGAGGTACGTGAAAGAAGACATGGTTTACAGCTTGTTCTTATTCGCTTGGCCAAGGTCTACTCTGTGACACCCATCATGTGGCCGAGAGTAGAGCTCTACAGGGCTGTGCTAAAACCAAAACCTGCACTTGACTTGCATGATCAGTTTGCTGGATCACTTCAGGTCCAAATCCAATAGCCTCCAATCAGTCCACGACCCAACAGAAGTAGGGGAGGGCTCTGTCAGGATAAGGACTGTAGGGTTGTAGAACTAGTCCCTGAAAGGAATGAAAAGCCTGCCAATGGGAGTGGGTCTAAACTATTGGTTTGCCTGACCCTACAAATCTGTACCATGGAAGTTACTGGGGCCACACACATATGGGATCTCTGAGCCCTCGGGCCTTTGTCCTGATCCTGCAAAACTGCATGCAGAAGCCACAGGTGGAGCTCATGAGTAGCCTCACTAGCCTTGAGCGCTTAGCGGTTAAGCATGTGGCTAAGTCTTTGCAGGAACAAAGACATTACAAACTTTAATCTGTAACCAGTGTGCTGATTTGTGCAGGAGACCAGAAACTTAGTCTCATGGTAAATACAAGGGACTCCTACCAGCACTGAAGGCAGCCAAGCAAAGGAAAGCAGCCAAGTTCTTCTGGGATAACATGTTTTATTGGGAGCAGGGACTTCAGCACAGCACTGGAATCAAACATGCTTTCAGCTTTTGACACTTTGTTTTTGAGACAACCCAGGGGGATGCTGAGGTGTTTAGAACAAAATGCATCCCCCTAAAGGGACTAGCAAAAATACAGTGCTGTTAGACAACACTGCTTCCCGCTCGCTGTCTGCTTGAGCTGCTGGAGGAAGACAGCCTCTCAAGTCACTTGGGAGTGGTTCCCCAGCTCCTAACTGTTGCAAAAAGCTGAAGAGCCTGTGTTTTAACCAGGAAGAAATGCTCAGAAAGGCATGCCACCTCTGAACATCTAAGAGCAGCAGCATTGCCGTGAAAGTGCTGCAGGGAACTCCCTTTTGCAACTGCCTGTTTCATGCTTGCGTGTGTGTATGTATGTATGTATGTGTGTGTGGGTGTGAGGGTATATGTGCATGTATGTGTATGTGCATGTAGGATTTGAATTATGGGGGAGCTTGGTGGGGCTGAGCCCCCCCATAGGAGACAAGACCCCCCCCCCCCGTAAGGTTTGAAAACCATAACCTTGTGGGGGCTCCAATTTTATTAGGACATTGTGATGGGCAGGGCAGCCCAATTTTTTGGCAGACAAAGAGTAAAAGTGTAATTCAAACCCTGTGTGCATGTATGTGTACCTATGTGTGTGGGCATGTACATGAACGATGCGTGCCCCCCAGAGGCTGAGGGGGCACAGCAACTGCCCACAGGCAGTGGTGACGGTGGCGGTGGGGGCATGGTGGTGGCGAGGGGGGAGCTCCTGCAGGCGGGCACAGACACTGCTGGTAGAGAAGCCGGGAGGGGGTGGCGAGCGATGACCATGCACAGGTGTTGCCAGCAGCATCAGCAGCGCTTTTCTCGGGGCTGCACATGCACCTGCGTGCACTCCCTATGCGTTGCCAATGTGTATGTATGTGTGTGCATGTACATGTATGTATATTCGTGCTTGTGTGTACGTATGTATGTATGCGTGTGCATGAAAGTTTGTGGACATATACATATATATATATGTATGTATGTATGTATGTATGTATGTGTGCGCGTGTGGACCAAGCCAAGTCCCCAGATAACACAGCAGCGCAAACCCAAGGAACTCAGAGCGCCGGGAGGTGCCGGGAGGTGCTGGCCACAGGCCCGCAGGGCGGCAGAGCACGCCCGAGGCCAGGGCCGGGCTCCGGCCAGGCGGAGCGAGGCAGGGGCGGGGC